GGGCGCGGTCCTGCGCGGCGGGACCCGGAGCGCGCTCTGAGGCTCCCGCAATCACCCCAGCACTGAGCCTGCAGCTTTGCAGAGCTGCCTGGGCGCCCCGCGGGGCTGCCCGCGAATTCATCGCATTTAACATTCATGAATTCAAAAATGAAAACAAAGTTACTGTACAGAAGCCCTTTGAATCAGCAGTTCCACGGCTCAGAATTTATGCTGCAGATGGGCTCCCACTTGTGAAATGTCTCCTTAGAAGGATAATCATGACATCAGTGTTTGACATCGCAGACGATGGGAAACGCTGAAAATGTCCAACGATACATCTGGCCAAATTCATGGAAACAAATTACGTTTGGGCTATGTTTGGAGTTCTCTGCAGGGGTTAAAAAGAAATGGACAGCCTTATAGACAGATAAGGAGAGAACGCCAAAATACATTATGTGATCTAAAAGATAAAATGCAGCACAACAGTATGCATGGGATGCCAATGTTTATGCAAAGAAAAATTATATATTCGTAAATGTATGGAGTAGCTATGGAGATATGCCCAAGAAATGCAAAAGAATTGGATGACTGAAGGGTCGGGGGAAGGAGAGAGACTGACCACATTTACACACTTTGGTAACAAATGTACCCTGTATGATCAGTTTATTTCTTAAAATAAAAATTGAAAAAGCAACGAGTTACTTAGCACTTACTGTGTGCTGGGCACCAGGTTTTATGTAAATTATTTCCTTCTAGAAACTTTGTCATGTTCAGCTTGTATTTTAATGTTTCAAGCTTTCTGATAAACTCCGTTGAGAAAAAAATTTTTAGCTCCCAAGATAACCACCCAGCAAGGCTTCAGCATCTTTAAAATCCTCTCCAAGTTCTGTATCTTCAGGGAAGACCTCTTGACAGAGGGACTCTAAGCAACAAATATTTGCACGATAAAGCCTACACAGCAGTTTTGCATCTGTGATTAACCTTTACTTTCCCAAGTACTCTCCACTTTGTAATACAGACATTATTGTCATTGTAGTTATTATAGGTATGATTTATAATATGCTTGGTTGCAAGTGACAGAAAATCCAAGTCTCAGTGGCTGGAACAGGAAGCTCGTTTAACTGAAGTTCAGGATAGGGTGGACTTCAGGGATAGTTTGAGCAGCTCACGGATGTTGCCAGGAGCTGGTTTCTTTCCGACTGTCTGCCATGCCTCCCAAGATGTCAATTTTGTGTAAAGCTTTAGGAAGATCTCACTTAATAAAAATGCTTCTTTCCCAGAGTTAGCAAGCAAACATCCTCCCCGTACTCACTGGCCTGAACTGGGGCAAGTGCCCACATCTGAACCAATAAGGGTAATAGGAGTTGGGATTATGCTGATTCACTTGGGTTCATCCTTTATCCCATGTGCTTTGAGGGGAGCTAAAGAGAACCAACAACAAACAAACTGGATACAGACGTTGAGGCAAACACAGCGCCCCTCACATCACTTCTGTTACTACTGACGCGATTTCTGTCCCTTTCTCCAGGTGTGGAGGGAGTGACAGATCTTGGTTTGCCCCCAAATTATGCAGCCAGTGTATTTGCAGTTTTACCTGCAATGTACCCCTTTCCAGTGAGAGAATAAGAGTACATCAGGGAAAATCTATCTCCAGTACTAGAAAACAATTCAAGTTATGGTGAGAGATTGTGATGTCATTTTGGTAGAATCATATAAGGGAAGTATACAAATATTACACTTAGGTGCTATTTCTTCATCCACACATCCAATAAATATTAGATTCCGACCATATGTAGAAGCACAAGGGCTCCTGGAGAAAAATGGAAGACATTCATGACCCTGGAACTCAAAGGAAATACAGTCAAGTTAGGCAAACAAGATAGACACTTGGAAGACGTTAAAAACAATGATATGAGATAGCATGCAATTAAAAAACATTTTTTATTGAAGTGTATTGAAATGTAATTGATTTACAGTGTTAGTTTCAGGTGTACAGCAAAGTGATTCAGTTTTATATATACATACATATATTTTTTTCTTTTCAGATTCTTTTCCATTGTATGTTACTACAAGAAATTGAATATAGTTTCCTGTGCTATACATATACAGTAAGTCCTTCTTATTTATTTATTTTATGTATAGTAATGTGTATCTGTTAATCCACAACCTCTAATTTATCCCTCCCTGCCCTTTTCCCTTTCATAAGCATAATTTGTTTTCTATGTCTGTGAGTTTGTTTTTGGTTTCTGAACAGAAATTGTAGCTTTTTTTTTAGATTCTACTTATAAGTGATATCATATGATATTTGGCTTTCTCTGTCTGACTTACTTCACTCAATATGATAATCTCTAGGTCCATCCAGTTTGCTGCAAACAGTATTATTTCATTCTTTTTATGGCTGAGTAATATTCCATTGCAGACATATACCACATCTTCTTTATCCAGTCATCTGTTGATGGACATTTAGGTTGTTTCCATGTCTTAGCTATTGTAAATAATGCTGCTATGAACATTGGAGTGCCTGTATCTTTTTGAATTATAGTTTTCTCTGGATATATGCCCAGGAGTGGGATTGCTGGATCATATGGTAAGCCTCTTTTTAGTTTTTAAGGAGCCTCCATACTGTCCTCCATAGTGGCTCTACCAAACTACATTGCCACCAACAGGGTAGGAGGGTTCCTTTTTCTCCACATCCTCTCCAGCATTTATTATTTGTAGACTTTTTAATGGTGGCCATTCTGACTGGAGACAGCATGTAGTTAAGTGCCTAAGTGGATGATAGGGCCATGTGGCAGATATTCACAGCAGAGAGGGCCCATATAGGTGGAGGTTAGTTTAAAAGGGTAACAGAAGACAGCCTTGAAGGATTGCTCAAATTAGGTCACATCGACAGAGGAGACGGGAAGGGCTGCCTAGTTGGCTGGGCACCATATGAGTAAAGGAGTGGAGGCAGAAATGAATTCAGTATTCTCAAGATTAGACACTAGACGTATTGGCATGGAGGGCTGTGTTGGAGAGCAGTGAGAGATGATGTTGGAACGTAAGACACCGGTTTCTCCAGGTTTATAGTTCTTGTGGGTATAGATGCATAATAATTATTTAAATTGCACTGGCTCCTGCTCCCACCTGCTCATCCTTTTCATATCTCACCAGTTATATCAAAGAGTACCCAAGGGTCTTTGCCATGTGCTCACAGATCAGTCAGCCAATGGAAGTCCCCCCACAGCACCTGCCATGCACTTCCTGTTCTGCTCTGGTCTGCCTCCTGTCAGGATGAAAAGATGGCTCACCACTGCTTGACTGGGGAAGGAGAGGGAGGAGTAGTCAGGAATGGCTCCAAATACATCCACCATGTTTGTGGTCTGCTGCGTCATTACCGTGTACATGACACACAAAGGGAAGTTTCTCCTCCAGTACATCTTCCATATTCAATCACTGTCCGTCCAACATCAAGGCACACTCTCAAGAGCTGGAGCAGGATTACATTGAGGCGAATGAAGCTGCTAGGGTGCACAACTTAAGGCGGCACTCACGTGGGGCCTTGCAACTTTACCAGGGTGGTGTGCCAGTGTCTTTGTCTTGTCTTCTGGACAGGTCAAAACTGGAAACCTCAAAGTGTCCATCTGAGACTTTTAAGACTCACTGTGTATCAAGGAAGTCTTACTAGTGGGCATTGGTAAAATGTTGATTTTGACTCACATCCATGTATTTATTTGTCTGCTTTTCCCTCTTTCTATTTCTTTTGAAAGTCTTTCTCACCCATCC